CTGTATAGCTAGGTAGGGTTATCGAACCGGGCTTTGAAACTATTCCGATGGTAGGAAAGTTCGATGGAGATATCGCCGTACTTGTATTGTAAAAAAGTGTCTAAAAGAATGTATCTCGCAGAGTTTTATCCGAAGAATTGCCTCTTAAGCCAGATCTATCTAAGTCATACGTGGCAAAATCGTGTTTCCGAAGCTACATGTAATTTGTAATTCACGTGAAGCAAGGTGGCCAACCTTCGATCAAACTCATAACCTGAGAATATTTCACAATTGAACGCGGCTCGTAAAAAACGCCATCTATCTAGGCCCCGCCACTCCCGTTGCTTTGACGCCCCGATCACCGCAAAGATTTGACCATCGAGATAAGACATATTACTGTCAAATTTTACTGAGAGTTCTTACCAGAGACCTTAACAGTTCATTTTCAATGCATGATTATTTTCTTGGTATAATCTTCGCTCGACAAAAGCTTCAAACCAGGGTGTGTGGACCACGAAGCGTGAAAGGAAGTTTTATAAGAACAAGGTACGGTATCTCGAGGACAAATGTGCTTCTAGCCTCGAAAGACGGATGCAGCCCGGTAGTATTGTTCTCGGATAGAATTCTCAAGCCTCCTAGTACTACGACCCAAGTTCAAAGATAAAGCACAGTGGGTATTCGAGGAAGGCTGTATCGCGACATTTCCTATGCGTTAGAAATATTGCAATTCGAGTGGGCTAAGGTGTGAGTTTTTGCGAGACTTTGTTCGTAAAGGCTGGGGGTAAAGCAAAGAATCTCTGACTAATTATAGGATTTTAAAATTTATTCAAGGACATGGTTCGAGTCCTAGCTAGAGCGGTCCCTAAGTTTGATATATTAGTCTATCACAAAACTCCGGGCGTTTTGAACTTTCCGCAGCATGGTATATATCATAACTCCTTTCTTGGTGAATATCAGAGATTCCGGGATGCTACCTTTGGCTCTTGCATGAATTGGAAATCTCAAATTCAAATCCGTTTATCTTTCTTAGATCTTTTGTCCAAATTTGCTAAGATTTATATTAAAAAGTATCTAGGGGAGGGCCTACTTGACACTGGACTATTGCGAGAATTATATTAATAAATCTAATAGACTGAGTCGGTCCCGTAACAAATATCTGACTTGGAGGAGTAACTTGGCTGAACCCACGAGTGGGAGAGGTTGGGCAACCTTTGAGAATCGAGAATTATGGCGTTGGGTATGTGGGAAAGGTTTCCCAGGTAAAGTAATCTGAGATCAATGGACGAGAATCGATTCTTTTTTGTTGGTGGTCTCAAGTCTCATACTTGGCTATGGCAAGGGGGATTTGCTAACGATATATCGACAGACCTAAGGCCAAGGACCTTTCCTGATTTCTATATAGAGGATTAGGTTGTGAAATGATAAAAGATCGTTATGACATACTAGTGTTTGTCTGCGATTTCCTGAATGATAAAGGGGCATTATGTTACGTATGCCTTAGCAATGTACGTACCCCTGGACCAACTCACGCTCGGTGAGCGCACTCAACTCAGAAGACCGGAGAACAGAGATCCGAACAAGCTGGCCAGGCCGAAATAACCCCTCCCACCACGCGGCCCACGTGGCCATGATCAAGTTAAGCCCTTTTTGTACTGGGTGTTGTTACGGGCCCTGACTAAAGCTTTAGTATTCCCTCTCAACGGTTGATCGCGTGGCAGGGCGGGCAAGGTTTACGTATTGTTTGTACGCCCATGGCTAGTACTTTAAAAATCCTGCCATTGGAGGGGGGGGTTCTTAAAATGATATTTTTTGACGGCCAATTCCCGTCAGTTTACTAGTCAGGGCTAGGTACTCACACCTGATAATCTTGATCGATTTTCTCTATGCAAACCCTATCAAACCTGCAAAAGAGTATAAGCACGTACCTGGGCATTGAAGAACGAATGGTCAATTCAGTCAATTGCAAGAAATACATTATTGGCCTTTATAATTTAACACATGAAACATTTATGACTATCTAAGATAATGTTCCGTAAATACGGATAGAGAGGAATCTCTTCTATCTTGAAAGCAGTCGATCATCCCAATGAAATTGAGCCAGTTACATCAATTTCAATGGAAGAATGCTCTTGGATCACAGGGGTTTATTGGCAGCCGAAACTAATCAATGTTGATAGCCATTGATCAGACTATTGGCTTTATGGGAGATATGCGGGTTTTGATGATATGAGAACTCTCAGGATTGGTGAATATCGCGATAGAAGGCCGAATCTGTGGAAAACAGGCTGAATATCCGACCTTGACCTAGAGTATCGTTGAAGTTGGCCTAGGCATACCAGGGAAATCTTATGGAAATAACCATTGAGCTTTAATGCGTCAGAACTAGTCAGCTGTATGAATTCCTCCAACTGTCAATTCTAATTGTGCTGGAAGTCGTTGAGTACCATATACATTCTAACTGAAAAGCACACACATTCATATATCGGCTTTTGTGGCTTCCATAGTCCCTGCATACGATACTCCAGAGGATATCTCTGCGTCCTGGCCAGAGAGGTCACCAAGGCCGGAATTACCAAGACCCAATCTCATGGGTCCCGCGGTAGCCTGGTTAAATCGGCCTCCATATACATGAAAGGTTTGCCCGATGAGCCCCGACGAAGTTTGATCTAGATCTTCGATCATGTAATTATAACTTACTGTGGAACCCGAGCACAAGTCTTGCGTCTATTCATCCGAGCAAGCCTTGGTAGGAAGAACAGGCCTGCTATCCCACTAGTGGCGGTGATATTTGGCGCTTGGTCGGCTTGGTATTTGAATGATTGGTTGTTGGATCGTGGAGGTGAGATCATGGTCGGCAGGAATGTACTGCTCTTCTTCTACTGTATTCAGAAAGGCGTTGTTGCGGCATGTAGTCGCGATTTTAAGCGTTCAAGCCCACGGCAGGGGCCACCGGATTATTTGAGTTTCAATTTTGGGAGAAGGCTGCAATGTTTTGTGACGGTGAAACAGAATTGGTCATAAGTCATCTTCTCAAACAGCTCAAATAAATCCTTACAGAAGTCAAATCAAATCTACACACAAGGGGAGGCCCCGGATAACGTGAGAAAGGTTACAATATCCTACTACGTACTCTAGGGAGGGCTCCCTGGTAGCTATGCTGTTGTATTATTAGAGGTTTATCAATTGCCGAGGGTGTGAGTATCTGGCATGGGATATCACTCGAACATGCACCCCGTACTTTCAACGCTCCAACCGAACCCGGAACAGCTCAAATCCTCGACAACTGATCCAGTGTGGGTCTACGATGATGATGTTAGATATGCGGCGCTATCAAAAGGCGGGGAGGAACATATCTCACGCGACATTTGGCGAGAAAGACCTGGCCTTCAAACAAAACGAAGTCCTTTCGGTATCTCGGGGTCGTTGTAGCGTCAGCGTCGAGAAATCTTTCTGGATCAAGAACGGAAGATTAGCTATTCCCCATGATTCGAGAATAGGGTCCGAACTACTAAAGTAAGCTACGGCTTCCCCAAAACGGCTTCCCTATTTAAACCTTCCCGCTAGCCACAGTCTTCTTGTGACCCAGCTCGGAATGTACCGGCTCTCCACGTTTCACCCGAGCGCCCCCATACTCTCCTCTACCCGCACGTACGGGCAGCACCCCGACATTTCCCTCCGCATTTTCTTTTGTGGGAAATATGGGTTTTTTTGGTTTCTTGGGACACGTAATTTGGGACATACCATACTTAGGTAGCCATATGTAACTACCAACAGCTTGTTGCAGGGAGACAGAGAGATCGACAGCCCTTGCGAAAAAACTTATTTACCCCACCGCCTCGTTTTTTTTTATCTTCCCCATGGGATACCCCGGAAAAACTAGAAAAGAGCTGGCGCAACGGCCCTAGGTCTAACAAGAAGCTAAACTAACTGTAACTAACGTTCGATCTAGTCATGTAGGTACATACATCGCACCGTTGAAGCCTCACGGGGAGTGTCGGCCTACTGGCCGTGGAATTTCAACCTTGGATTTCGCACCACGGTTTGGGTTGCTGATATGTTGTGAAATCGGACCACAGGCTCGGGCCAACTCGTGGAATAAAGATACACACAGCCTGATCCTTGGCTCCTTACCTGCTCTACTATATTACATGTAGTTACCTTTGTATTAACCGAGAGCTAGATATAGATGCCATGACCAGGGAAATGAATTAATCAATCTCTTCCCCGCATTTATGCATGATCTCATCTGCCTTTATTTATCTTATGATGTTTACTTATCTGATACTGTAGACATGACCTTCAGTAGAGTATTAATGGCAGTAGCATATTAGTAGTATCAAGGCATGTCCAGCTACGCAAGGAAGAGGTTGAGTTAAAAGTCACACTAGCTACATGTAGGTAGGAGGAAGTTACATTTACAAGGGTCTTGTAATCAGCTGAGCCGCATGATACCGATATCGGTACATATCAAAAGCAAAAACGGAGGCTTAACGCCCCTTTACTTACCTTAGAGTTGAGTAACCAGCATGCGTTTGGTGGCGTTCTCTTCCAGCTCGACCTATGTATCGGTACCTGAACCGGATCAGCTACTAAAAAAAAGGAAAAAGAAGGACTAACTACTAGTGTCAGGAATGCCAGGGTAAAGCATTTTGCGTTCGCTCTCTCGCTTGATGAAAAGAAAAGTAACTGGGGTGGCAATTAAAGTGTGCAGTGTGGGGAAGGATCTCTCTACCCAGGCGTGTAACCAAGGACTTGTGTGGAGAAAAAAGCTATGTACCTATCCGTTTTGAGCAGGTATTACTGGCCGGGCCCTAGTTGGAACCAAGTGGGCGGTCATAGAACTTCACCATGACCCCTAAGTCACAAGAGAAGTAAGTGAGACATTGGTTCTGTCTCATTGAATGAAGGCGAGCCCTCCAGTCCGCTGGAAGATAAAATGCAGCCGATTCCCCTGCTCCGGTAACCCTTTTCCAGGCCAGCCCAGCACAAATCAACAATCATCTTCATCGGCAGTCAACAAGATGGACTCCAAAGACCTAAACACCGTCGAGCACATTGAGCGGAAGACAACACCGATGAGCGAGGATTCGAGCCGTGATGCCGCGATTGCGCTTCCAAAGCCTTCCTTATGGAGCAAGAACTCGTTGAAGCTGTATATCTGCTTGGCGGTTGGATACTTGGTATCAACTATGAACGGTTACGATGGTTCTCTCATGTGAGTGATCCTTTTTTCTTACGCGCAATGGTGACGAAATGTCTTAGACTGATTGGTGGTTCGTTGTAATATAGGGGCGCTATCAATGATATGGAGCAATATCAGAAATCCTTTGGTATGAACGGGAAGGGATCCAGCACTGGTATTGTCTTTATCATCTACAACGTAAATATCCCCCATTCTCAACCTGGAGAACTCACTTGTTAATTTCTTGTATAGTTGGGTCAAATCGCTGCGTTTCCTTTCTGTGGTTGGCTTGCAGACGGATATGGAAGACGCTGGGCAATGTTCATTGGTTGTTTTATTGTTGTTATTGGGACCGCCGTTCAGACACCTGCCAACTCAAGTATGTATAATCTTTACATTGCCCCGGTTTAAGCAAGAAATGGACTAACCAATTGATATAAAGTGGGCCAATTCCAAGCTGGACGTTTTATCCTTGGATTCGGAGCCGCGATTGCTGGCGCTGCCGCACCAACCTACACAGTCGAGATTTCGCACCCAGCATACCGTGGCACCCAAGCCGGTCTTTACAACGTTTGCTGGTATCTAGGATCTATCAGTAGGCCCCCCCCCAATACACAAAATCCAGAAAATCCAGGACTAACACAATGTTACAGTTGCAAGTTGGTGCTGCGTCGGTAGTAACCGCCACATGCACAACTCATGGGCCTGGAGAACACCCACTGTCGTTCAGGCCGCCGTTCCCGGAATTGTCGCTATCCTCGTCCTCTTCCTCCCCGAGTCACCGCGTTGGCTCATTTCCCAGGACCGTAACGAGGAGGCAATTGCTATTTTGGCCAAGTACCACGGTGACGGTGACAGGAACTCTTCAATCGTCCAGGTTGAATATCAGGAGATGAGGGGGCAAATCAGTTCTTCGAGCTCCAGTTCCGACAAAGTTTGGTGGAATTACAAGGATTTATTCAACACCCGTGCAGCCCGCTACAGAATCGGACTAGTTAGTAAGTTTATCACCTGCCCTTATAATTAAAGTTGTGACCTGCCAAATAGGTATTAACATCACTTCCCTTTTTTCCACAGTCGCGATGGCATTCTTTGGTCAATGGTCTGGAAACAACGTAGTCTCATACTACATGCCCACCATGTTCGCCCAGACCGGTATCGAGTCCTCCGACACCCGTCTCATCCTCAACGGAATCTACCCCATCTTCTGCATGTTCGCCGCCATCTGGGGTGCCACCCTCCTCGATCGCCTTGGTCGCCGTAACATGCTTATAGGCGCCACCTCGTTCACAGTCATCTGTTTCGCTATTATCACCGCTGGAACCGCCGTCTCAAGCTCTAACAAGGGCGCATCCTACGCAGTCATCGTGTTCATCTATCTCTTCGGCATGGCCTTCTCATGGGCCTACACCCCGCTACAGGCCCTCTACAGCGCCGAAGTCCTCGAGACTAAGACACGTGCCAAGGGTTCCGGTCTCAACTTCTTGTTCCTCAACATCGCCATGTGTGTCAACACCTTTGCCGCGCCCGTCGCCATGGAGAAGATTGGATGGAGATACTACCTGGTGTTTGTGGGCTGGAACTGCTTTGAGGTTTTCGTGATCTGGAAGTGGTTCATTGAGACCTCGGGCCACACTTTGGAACAGCTCACCGAGATCTTCGAGTCGCCCAACCCTGTCAAGAAGAGTTTGGAAAAGAGGGTGGTGCTTGTCAACGAGAAGGGTGGAAACGAGGTGTAGGGGCTGCTGCGGGAACTAAATGATGGATAATGTCATTACTGTTTTTATGAGCGATACTTCCTTTTTTTTTTTTAACTCTCTTTCTGTTACGACCGGTGTTTTTGTCTTGGTTGGCGGCTTGATGATACCTTTATTGAGAGCGGAGAAACGTCTGTATAGTTGTAAATAATAGAGATACTTGATATCTGACTATCGAATTCCAAAGAATCCTAGTGAACGAAAACCATTTTTCGAAGTCAATCAATAACCAGTTATCTAAATAGCCATAAATCTCTGATGGGTTGTCCTGGAGTTAGGGTCAATGATACATACGCCTGTAAAAATCACAAGCCAACGGCCCAACAGCAGCCGGGATCAGCCAATCGACGGGAAGGGCGTTTTGCCTAAAAACTTGCACCAACACCAACGAGGCCAGTGGCTATCCTAGAACGGACCTGGTGTCTACGCATGGTAGCTAGAGTATGAGCAAGGGTACTATACATGTAGTTAGGTAAGTGTACTACCAAGTGCACTGATCTAGTAGAGTAGGAAGTCAACTCAGTTGGTACGTAGTAGGTTGTTTGGCTTTCATTGGCCGGTAAAATTAAAAGATCAACGGGTCGATATCAGCCGGTTGAAAAATACCCCTAGCCCTGACTCGAGATAATTAAACCTGACCCTGGAATCTCGACGTTACACGTTGACGTATGTACTCTATATACACAGGATACCTGTAAGCAGGTAGGTATTCTTGTGCTTACCACGAGGTATTGGGCGACGCGATCGTGATTACTGATATGTGGGAGGTGAGGTATCGTTGGCCGGGTCTGAAAACTTGCGACTCTAACGTAGGTATGTGAACCTTACGTGATAGGAGATGGACACCGATCTCCGCAGGATGTGAATCCTTGGCCATGGGTAGAATACCTGAGCAGACCCCTGAGTGAAGTTAGGGAGTGCTTGGGACTTCCAGTACGTTGGTCCGAAGATTTACGTGGATACGTTCTTGTGGGATATTGCTCGCGAGTTTCTTGGTAGTACGATGATGGTAGGCTCTTGATAAGGCGCCCATGATATAATATCGCTCATTAGTATGGGGTGCATCAACTTCGAAAAACCGAGCTTTGTATGGAAGCTGGGAATATCTCCAAAAGCCCCCTCGCCTGGGCACTCAGCTGATAAACTCGAGTATATGCGAAATGATTTTTGGTAAAATTACTTTTGACACATTTACCGCTCCATACTGGTAAGAGTTGCCAAATTACAACTACCATTACTGGATGTATAGAATAGATTAGTATGCCAAATAATTCAACACCAGGAAAAGAACAGGCCAATATATCTCGGTATTCCCCAGAATTGGTATATGATAAATACTTCACAGACCCGTTATTACACCCATAACACTCCGACCCCACCAAAGCCAACACCCCATAACCCAAACCTGGGCCAAAATTTGCAGAAAAAAAGGGAGATTGAGTTCAGTATCCAGGATTCCCACATGGTCACCCACTGCAGTACTAACTGGACGATATGTTGCTTGTGTATGGCAGAGCAGACGGGATGCCCAATTTTCAACATTCTATGACTGAACACAAAGGGGTCAATGATTGTCGGCTCTTATTTGTACTATAATCTCGTTCTATATAAAGTTTATGGAGAGACTTGAGCTCTAGTAGGCGTTCTGGCTCGTTAGAATCATTAGATTACTACAGTTGTTTAAACAAGTGTTGCCAGTTGCAACAGAGGGTGTTGGTCACGCCCGCTTTCCAAATTTTGAGGTCACATTTCATGTAGTCCTTGGTAGCGGTCTCATTTTCTTTTTTTAATGGGCAGCGCCTTGCCCTCTGTGCGTAAAGATGGGGTTTATGTTGATGGGATTACGGATACGTTGAAGCAACGCTGTCAAAGGTGCGGAGTTCAAATAGAGAATTAGGAACTTGAAGAAAGTAACATGTATGCTGATATCTGTTGCCGGAGCCGACCCCGGCTCCTCGAATTTCCACCTAGTAAGCTTTAGACTTACGCCTGGGGGGCGTCTCTCGGAGCCCTCACACCCGTATACACCCCACCCTATATGTGTGCCGGCCTCTGGAATATTTGTAGACTATGACCTCGCTCTGTGGGGATCAAGACTGTGATGCAGCCTTTGGCCTTGGGCTTGAGTCCTACCTACGTGATAAACTGAATTGAGTTGTGTCTTTAATTGAAAGTTTGCTTTCGCAGAGGCACTTTCCCTGCGCGAGCCTCGTGGTCGGTCAGATACCGGAGATTACAGTGTATTGAGAATATTATTATGTATGTCTCAAGCCACAGTTACTAACGTGTACATAAGGGAACTTAATCATGAAAGATCACTCGCACACCAGGTATGTATTCTTCGCTACCGGGAAGTTACTACTTTACAAAAAAAAAGCCAGATCAAAACAAGAAATCGTGCTCCAACACATGCTCGCTGTCGTGTACTCTCATATATCGTCTTATCATCGTGCGTTAACCCGCTCGCAGTCCCTCATGCCGTGTGTATGTATATTCCGCTCCGCAGAAAACCACGCCGCCACTGAACCCACCATCAAAACAAAAACAAAAGCCAAAAGCCAAAACTAAGAATCAGAAAAGAAAAAGGATATCATACTACAAATACAACTATACAAGCACACTACTCCACCCCCACCGCGCCCGCTGCCTCCTCCGCACGCCTCTGACTCTCCCTCTCCCTCTCCTTCTCTCTTGCCTCTAACACCCCTACCCACTCCCTCAACGCCAGATTCTCCTTCGTCAACCCCTCGACAACACTCTTCAACTCCACAACCTCCTTCATCTCCTTCGACCTTCTCTTCTCCTCTCTCTTCCTCGCCTTCTCCACATCCTTCTGATACCGCGCCTCCCTCTTCTCCACCTCCTTCATATGCTTCTCCAGCAGCCTCTGCTCCCTCTCGTCGTCTTTACTGCGCTTCTTTCGCTCGCGTGAGCGCTGGCGCTCTAGCTTTTCGCATAGCTTTGCCTTTTCTCGCAGTAGGCGGGCGAGGGCTTTGTCTTCGGGGGTGGTGGCGGCGGAGGTGGGGGCGGAGACGGATGTGACGGATGTGGTGTCGTCAGGCGAGGGGGCAGTGGCGAAGCTGGCATTGGAGGCAGCGTCGTCGTCGGAGTGGGAGGGGGTGGTGGCGCCGGGGATGGTGCTGGGAGGGGTGGGAAGGTCGTTGTGTGTGGTGGTCGAGGCGGTGGGGGTGCCGTGTTCGGAGGTGGTGGTGGAGGTGCTCATGACGGAGGGGGTGAACATTGATACGCCTGCGGAGACGGTGGACACCGCTGACGAGAGGAGGCCGCCATGGGACTGGTCTTCGGAACCTTGTGGGGCCTCGTCGCTGTGTGAGGTTTCCGGTGGATGCTCGGGCTCACGCTTCGAGACGTCATAGAGCTCTTGGCCGTGGACTTGGTGTTCTCCCCCGTCGCCGCTGTCGCCGCCGACCTTGCTTCCCTCGGCCATCTCTTCGGATTCTTCGTCCTCTGGATAGCCGTCTTCCAGGTCCGTCTTTGCCGCCGCCCACTCAAGGAACTTGTCGGCGTCCTTCACGATCCCGCCGGGTGTCCCGCGCTCAACCATCCACCGCGGAACACTTCCGCCCGGGTCCGACCGCGTGATCATGATCCACTCCACCGGGTTCTGCTCCGGATGCGGTCCCTCATCCACTACTGTAAATTTACCTGTTAGTTTAACTAGCCTATCCAATCCCGGCGGTGTTCCATACCTGGCTGCTGCTGCCCTTCTGGCACACTCTCCGTATCCGCAAACGTGATAGTCCTCCCCCGTCTCCTCCCCCTGCGCTCCCCTTCCTCCTCCTCCTCCTCCTGCAACGTCGCCACACTCGGCACACTCTGGACCCTACGCAGCTCCTCCGAGCGGCGTGCTGGGCGGGGCTGCACAGGCGGGGCACACACAGACGGAATCTCCCTTATGAACTCGACGCTCTCAAACTGGCCGCGGACGTAGCCCTGGCGCTCCGCACACTCGGGATGGTCCGTGAGCGGCCTCGAGATCATCGTGAACTGTCGAGGCTTTGGTGAGCCGTCGTTGGGGGCGGGGGCGGGGGGGGCATCGTCGGATGGCGGGGACAGGTCCTGCGGGTGCGCGGAGGAGGTGAGGGTTGATGTTACAAAGTCTCGAGGCGCGGAGGGGCCGGGGAATTGTGCGGTGAGGTAGTTTACTGGTGTGGGTTAGGGTTAGTTAGCAACGTAGCTATACAGATATTGAGATTATGGATGGTGGACGATACCCTCTGCCTGCCCCAACGCACACCTCTCCCTCTCAACCTGCCGCTCCCTCCCCATACCACGAACACTACTCCCCCTCTCAGCACCCAACTCAAACTCCCTCACGAGTCCCGCGCGGAACCGCCGAAAGCCCAGCTGCGAATGTACACTGCGCCGGGCGAACCAGGTGCCCTTTCCATCCTTCGCGGTGAGCTTGTAAACGCTGAAGTTGTGCGGGTTATCTTTTGCGTTGAGCTTGACGGGCTTCCATTCCTTCTGGAGGGGAGAGCCTGCAGGGGTGTCGGTGTCGGTGTCGGACGGGGGTAGGGAGTTGATGAGGGTGTGGGTATCGCGGAGGGCGTTGGTGATGTAGCCGGGGAGGATGGCGGGCGTGGGGAGGGCGGAGACGGTTGTGGGGGAGAGGGTTTTGAGGGCATCGTGGAGGGCCGCCATGGTGCTGCCGCTGTAGGTGTGGTGGTGGTGGAGTGGTGATTTTGTTTGAGTAGATCGTCCTCGTGTTCGTGGTGTCCTGTCAGGGTACCAGAATGGTGGATTGAATTGCAGATACACACACTGCGAGTCTTCTCCTGTAGATATATGTCTCGAAAAGTCCCCCTCTGTCTCTGTTCTGTCCTGTTCTGTCCTGTCTGGCTTCTCCTGTCCTGTCGAATTAAACCGATCCTTGGACATGCAGCCAGATGACGTTACGGCTACGCCACACCCGCCACCGACCCCTGCTCACTTAAACACACACACACGTTGTTGGCCGGCTGTTCTTCTTCGACGACGCTACGAATACGAGATAAATCCTAACTTCGACTAAACAGGCAGAGACATGTACCTACATATTGATGATGATCTGCTAGAACGTGACAAAGAAGCTATCTAGAGGTTGCCATGATGTAGACACCGCTCGCGCGCCCAACAACGTCACGGAAAAAGCCATCTGCCGAAAATCTGGGGAAGGAAGGTGCAAAAACCCCCGACCGACCCTTCCTTCCCTCCCAATCCCTTTCCTTCCTTCCTTCTGTTTGGAAGAGCCTCTTCCTTTCGTCGCCCGTAGGTAGCTTTTTGATGGATATCAGTGTGTGGTGCTATTAGTAGATGCACGTAGTTTCGTTATTTAATATTTGCCCTTGTGGAAAGGCTGGTGAGTGGTTGTGTCCTTTGCGTAGCAACCGGTGAGTTCGAGTTTGAGTTCCAAAGCCAGGATCAGGATAAAGAGGTCCAAGCCAGGGTCCTTGGTTGGTGAAGTTGGATAGGGTTAGGTTTATCGGAACGTAGGATTCGGGATCCGGGCCGAGTCAGTGCTGGTGATGCAAACCCGGTTGGCGCAGTGTTGCGAGAGGAGGTCTTTGGTGGCTTTCTTGGGGTCGTTGCTATAAAAGGAGTCGATGGGGTAGTGTTTAGTAGGATTCCGGTGGGACTGTGGGTGGAGCGATTTCGGGTGTTTGATGACGGTGCGAGACAAGACCTAGCTAGGCGAACTGCTTCGAGAACGGTGGTTACCATTGAACAAAGATTTCGGTGACCTTGCAATCTCGCCGTTCTGGCCAGTCTTGTATCTCCAGTCCAAAGACTGACTCAAAACCCATCCATTGTGGTGCCGCTCACTCGATCCGCTGTCTCCTGACTGCACCCAATGCAATGATGCATGCATGCAATAAGACAGGATCGCTATCATGCGGGATAATCACCTTTGAGGGCGTAGACTTATCAATCGGCCGGAGGAACTCCTTAAGATTGCAATCTGTTTCTCGTGCTAATGAGACTGTCTAGTCAACGCTGGAATTGTATCGTGGGATGGGTGAGTGCCCAGGTATTCAGAGCTGAGATTGACTGCTGGCTTCTTAAAGATGATGAATTGTCTTCTAGTGTTATAATGCTAGAGGGAATGACGGATCCGGAGATAAGGCTATATCTCAGTCGAGGTATTGTACATATATACGGCGTATACACCGTAACGCTAGCGATGTTCCATATGCTCTACAACACTCTCAATGATCTACAAAAACTATCCGTCACCGACACAGAGATGAATTCTCCATCCACGGGCTCGGAACAACATCTTTACAAACCCGCTTCTGCATGACCACCGCTCTACCGAGAACGACTCAATGGAAAGGCCCGTACTTTCAATGGTACATAGTATACCGCCATCCGATGCCGCATAATTGCGAATAGTACGTCCGGTATTTTGCAACTTTACAACAGAAGTTAGTGGTGGGGAGTTTAACTAAGCTTTCAGACCGCTCGAAACTCCTCAGGCTTTACTTCTTGGTGAAGAACTACGGCAAATGCGCGTGTTTGAAATTTATCGGTTCCGGTGCTTTCCTCCCAGGGGGAAAAATATGACTGCGATTGCACAAAAAGCCAGTACTTATCGGGCCGCGGCAAAGATTATCTAGTGCCCACTACGCCGAGTCCGTACCTTTACACGTACCTCCTCACTCAAAACGCTACCCGTACACGACACCACAAGCGGGGCTGTCAAAATCGAAGATGCAGAATAGCTTAGATTTAAAGTGAGAAAGTCGGCAGAATATTGGAATCATGATATATCACTCGGTTCTATGTTTCATGCTCTATGAACTGTGGGCTCTGAGTTGGGGGCCCCGGGGGGGGGGGGGGGTTAGATCTATTATATGGGCCGTGTCTAAAAATTTCCCGTTGTGGAAACCATCAGGGTGAAATGATGATCACAACTAAGGTGTTCGACTAGGACTTTTTGGCTCATTTCACCAAAAATGTCTGTAAGTTTAAGATGTAAAGTTGGGTATCTCTGACGTGTTCGGTCATAGAATGTTGAAAGCTGGGCATCCCGTCCGCTCTGCCATACATAAACAACATATCGCCTAGTTAGTACTGCAGTGGGTGACCATGTGGGAATCCTGGGTACCGAACTCGTATTTTTGCACTCTTTCTTTTGGTGGAAGACAACCCTGGCCTGATACCTCTTTCCGTTTGTCCAAGTAAACAGTCTACGATAACCAAACCGTATAAGTAAATCTCCTTTTATTCTAGCTGTACCTCTGTTGCAGGCCGGTATTGAAACTATTTTCCCATACAAGATTGATTGCAATGCCAACGTCCGGTTCTTTATACAAGCCCCCAACTGAAATCTTAGAACGTTTCGCTGCTCAGATCCGTCAAGCTCAGATGTCTTTGTGAACGGAATAATTATACACAGCCATGCTGTTCTGCCCATGGAGTAGACATATTCTGCGGAGGACTGGCTCTGTTCTACTGTGGGTTGAATTATCGCAAAAGGCGTTGCTTCCCCAGCTAGAATACACCCTGATTGTGAAATAAGAACTTCTTGCCTTGGTATATGGTGCTCTCTCGTGCAATGAGTCTTAAGTTACTAAGCCGAGGACTTACACTCAGTATCTCATTAGAAGGCGAGTTAAAACAGGTGAGTGAGCGAGGCCATATTTCAACATTGTTTGCCTAAACCGTTGTGGTCGGTCGCCAGAAACGTTGTATCAATCATTTCGCAACAGGAGCAGGAAATAGAGAGGACGAACAAAGAGACTTGAAGAAATGGAGCATGGTTCTCTACAAACGACTTCTAGCTTAAGAAACCCGAGGTATAAACCTGAACGTGTCCAACATTAATATCACAATAGAATCGGAAGCCATAGTAACTCAACTTGTTGCGTTGGTTTACCGAGTGATAATACATGAACGAGTGATGGAATGTGAGGCGAATTGAAATCATCTAAATTATAAATTATACGGACTGAAATAATTTATAATTAATCCTTTAACGAAGAGGTAGAATTTAATTGCGCTTATATCTTGGCGATAATAAAGCTTTATAGCTTGGCCGACGTCAGGATTAAGATGGATAGGACACTGTCATTTCGTACGGGGTAAACCTTAAATTTATTCATCAATTCATCACACACGCAAAAGACCACGTTTCTCTATAGTACCACATGCCCCCATTCATCTCGTCATCAAGTTCCCCTCCTTGCGATGCCCACCTCTTCCTCCTCTTCCACCGCTAGTTTGGCCGCAACTATATCACTCTCCACCACGATCTCCTCCCCAAAAAGTGCCCCAACCTCCTCCAAGCTCCTCCCCTTTGTCTCCGGAAACCAGCTCCACACGGTCACCGCCCCAAGCACATTCGTGACTATAAATACACTGTAATATCTCCACCCGATGTTTGCAAATGCGATGGGCGAGACTTGGTTGAACAGGATATTAATTAACACATTGCACATGATGGACAGACTACTACCCTGGGCGCGGATAGCCTGGTTGAGGATCTCGGGGACATAGATGATGTGGATACTGTTGAAGCCCATCGAATAGATGATGGAGAAGAGAAATATAAAGGCAATGGCCCAGCCTTGACCGACACGGTTGGTGCCGGTGGCGAAGGCGGCGGTGAGTGACATTATGAGCGACATGTCAATGGCCATTAGGAGACCGGTGATATATAGAGACTTTTTGCGGCCCCAGGTGTCGACGTAAAGGAGGCAAAGGATCTATCTATGATGTTAGCAGAGGCCAGAGAGGGAGGAAGGGGGATGCTACGTTGGCGAGTGGCCCAACCATTCCGTAGCAGCCGGCAAGGAGATTGACCGTGTGTCCGGTTATCCCAACGGATTTATAGAGGTCAGTCTGGTAGTCTTTCCTCTCTCTACTATTAATTCAAGTTCTTTTTCCCGTTATCAATTGGCATAAATAACTCACAATTAATCACGTTAATTCCTACCACCTGAAGTTAGCCACAGCAGCCGCAGCCTCTTAAAAGAGTGTTATCTTACCACTTAGCTGTGTAAAAACCTGGACTGTAATAGCTAGCGCCAATCGCTTCCGATAGCTCTTCTTCGTCACAAGCTCCCTCACACTCCTAACATTCACCGCATTATCGTACCTGATCTGCTCCCTCATCCTGTCAAACTCCATACGCAGCTCAACATCATCCTGTCCGCTGCCGGAATGAAGACGCTTTACGATCTCGAATGCCTCCTCGTCACGTTCGCGTTCAAGTAGCCAGCGGGGCGAGAAAGGAAGCCAATAGCTACCGAGCAGGAGAATGATCGCTGGGACACATTGAAACGCGAGGGGGAAGCGCCATTTAAAAGAGCCGCTAGCATAGCCGGACCCAAAACCGATCCACTGCATGCATATCTTGGTTAGTGCCTAAGATGTATAGAGTCTGGGAAGAATGATCGCATACGTACATTTGCGGCCGCAAACCCGAAACCTACAAATTGTGCATGGAGACCAGTCACCATGCCTCTTTTTGACGGCGGCGCAATTTCGCTATTATAGATGGGAATTGCCAGGTCTGGGGAGGCTTGTTAAATTCTATCTCTCAAGATGTGGAAGGAATTGAGTGTATACGTACTCATTACTCCAACCGCGAATCCGCCGAGGATCCGGCCTACTATTAACATTGATACATTGACTGCCGCTGCCTGTACAATCCCAGAGATCAAGGCCACAAGAGCGGCAAACTGTATGGTCCTCTTACGACCTATAAACTTAGCGGACGAACCCGACATAGATCCTGAGATGGTCTTGCACACACCATATTTGTCGGCTGACCATCCAGCTAATAACACGCCGAAGAAGGAGCCAGCACCGAAGGTAGATACAACAGCGCCTTTGATAGATGCTATACACAAGTGTGTAAGCAATCAGGTGTGTAACCAGGAAGGGATACGTACGGTCAAATGGTGCAAAGTATTCTAGGAAGGTGTCCTGTGCGATTGTAGTGGAAATAATACCAGAGTCGATACCGTATAGCAGAGATCCGACCTGGAAGGTATTAGAGACATAGAATTACGGTAGATACGGGCACTTACAGCGGCGAATGTAGAGACACCCCAGGTGTAGAGGTTGATTGAGTTGTTGCTGTGATCCGTCATGTTGGTAATTCTAGGATTCAAATTGGCTAGATTGGGGAGTATTAAGTATGCCAGGAGGCACTAATCCACTACCTGATTGATTGGGCAGCGGGAAAACGAATATGGGACTTGTGAATGGTTCTTATGAATGGATCTTATGATTTCTACTTCATAAGACACACAGGTACCAACTCTCCCTGAATAATAGACCGGTGTTCCTAGCAGTTAAAACATCCGAGTGACTACATGTCTATATATGTCAAATCATCTAGTAACATGTGGGGAGATAAAAGCTGTGGGGTAATAATCCGGGGGAATACTAGGACAATGATAACCTTGTTCTCAGAGCGGGATCTTCATACGCTGCATCCGTGCTGTACTCAATTATCAACTCGTTACCGGGCATGATAGGATAGCCTCTTCAATATTAGTCAACAACTCAACCATGCCTACTGCGGGGTATGCGTAATAATCAGGGCCTTGGCAAAATCTAAACTTCTAAACCTGGGACTCGGTTCGTCGGGGAATATATAGCGAGAGCCGTGAGTTCTCATTTACCCTGGCCTTTTAACCTATTTGGATAATTCTGTCTGATGATGGAATGTATCATGACTTGATTCGATTGAGCAGACACAGAGCGTTGATTGTCACTCGCGAACCCCGCGACAGAGCTCCTAACTCCTTTTGCAGAAAGATGCGCAAGCCTGTGGGGTATTCCCGCTTCCCCGGAGCTTATCGCGTTGCTTTTTCAACTGTCAATCAAGCCATCGAAAGAAACCCCTCACGATGAGCATCCGATCATATCATTGGGCTGCTCTAATTAGGAATAAGAATTGGAGCTATCGTTGAAATTGTTTTGCCAAAAGGAAACAAATGTTCAAACAGCTGCATCCATTTCAACGGGATATATAACTGGCTGCTGCACCCAACCTTCAATTCGACCAGCGAATCTCAAAATTCCCATCAAAGGCTCTTGTATCTTCTCTCATCATGGTCAAATTCTCCAAGGGGATGTGGCATGCCACACCTGACACTATAATCCGCTGGGCTACTGAATCTGTCAAGGCAGAAGCACTCCCTGAGTCGATTCGCACTGTCGCGGTATGTCCTGACCTTACTAGTTGGAATTTATATGATAGATCCACCAGTTTAGCAATTCCTCTTTAGTGAAGAGCTATACGTTTTTTACTCTAGGGATGGATCGCCTGACTAAATGATCTATCGATAATGGTTTTCAATAAAGATGACGTACATTGATCTAATAGACCGATATTAGTCTTCACGAGCAATAAACCACCGCGGCGACATTCTTAATAACCCAACCTTGACCATTACAGCCTCCTCACCTTCCGACGATATCCTCCTACTCTCCTCCTACCACTGGAAAGCCCAACGCAGCACCTCAATTGGCCCTCGTTTCGAACTCTACCCCGATGGTCTCCCGGAGCGTGCTAATCCCGTCACTACCGCCAAAACGGACGATTTACTAACATTGACTACGGGAGAGCTGACAACAAGTATCAATATCCGCCCTAAATCCTTCAATGTCGACTTCAAGGTGAGAAATAAGCTGTTGACAAAGCTTGGCTGGCGCAGCATTGGGTATGTCCAGAAAGGGACCGATGCTCATCCCAATACCGAACTTGTGAACCCAGATAAGGGGGAGAGGTGGTTCACGTATCAGCTGCAGCTTGGCGTCGGAGAGAAGATATATGGGCTAGGGGAGAGATTTGGACCATTTATCAAGAATGGACAGGTATGTTTAAGCGCTCCATGGATATATGCTCAATTGCAGTAAACTATAAGAACAATTGATCGAGAGATTAGCAAAGTGTTTATATACTAATATAGTAATGCCTCCCAGACTGTAGAAATGTGGCACGAAGACGGTGGCACCTCGTCAGAGCTTGCCTACAAAAACATCCCCTTCTACCTCTCCTCCGCCGGTTACGGAATCTTTATTCCTACCTCCGCCTTCATCTCCTATGAGCTACAATCCGAGCGCACCACTCGCGTCAACATCAGTGTTCCCGGGGAAGCCCTCTCAATGTATCTCATCTACGGCCCAACGCCTAAAGATATCCTGTCAAAATATACACTCCTCACCGGGCGTCCTGCCTTGGTGCCTGCATGGACCTTTGGGCTGTGGTTGAGTACGAGCTTTACGACTAACTATGATGAAGCCACTGTCGATAACTTTTTGGCGGGTATGAAGAAGAGAGAGATCCCCGTGGGAGTGTTCCATTATGATTGCTTCTGGATGAGAGGGTTCCACTGGTGCGACTTCGAGTTTGATCCGTTGTATTTTCCGGATGCGAAGAAACAGTTGAAAAGTTTGAAAGATAGGGGGATAAAGGTACCTCTCCTCTGCTTCGATCTGGAAAAATCTTTTAAAAAGCAGTGTGGCTTTGGGGGAAATATTGACCTGAATTGTAGGTGTGCGTATGGATTAACTCTTATATCGCGCAAGAAAGTAAAATCTTTGATGAAGGAGTTGAAGGAGGCTACTTTGTTAAGAGACCTGACGGTGGAGTTTGGCAATATGACGCCTGGGTACATATCCCCATTTCCACTCTTATGATTGTTACTAATCCCCAGTAGCAAGCCGGAATGGCATTCGTAGACTTCACCAACCCCGCTGCCTGTAAATGGTATAAAAGCAAGCTCGCTGATTTAGTTGATCTTGGCGTTGACGTCTTCAAGGTCAGTCCCTTCTTATTTTCATGACAAAGCAATCATTGACAATCTAGACCGACTTTGGCGAACGCATCCCTACCGGAAACGTCGTCTACCATGATGGCTCGGACCCAGAACTCATGCACAATTACTACACACAGCTCTATAACAAAACCACATTCGAGATCCTGGAGGAAAAGCTCGGCCCTAATAACGCGGCGCTATTTGCGCGTTCTGCAACCGCAGGAGGCCAGCGCTTCCCTGTCCACTGGGGAGGTGACCCGATGAGTACGTATGAAGCAATGGCAGAGACGCTAAGAGGGGGCTTGAGTCTGGGTTTGTGTGGGTTTGGATATTGGGCTCACGATATTGGTGGGTTCGAGGGGAAGCCGGACCCTGGCTTGTTTAAACGCTGGATAGCGTTCGGGTGCATGAGCAGTCACAGTAGACTTCATGGGAGTGGAAGCTTCAGGGTAGGTGAAAAACAGGTACAATTATAGTAAGGTGGCTGACAGAAATCTATAGGCACCGTGGCTACTTGATGAGTCTGGCCAGGCAGATAGGGTACTCAGGCACTGGGTCAACTTCAAACTCAGTATAATGCCGTACCTCTATGAAGCAGCCATCAAGGCCCACACCCACGGCCACCCCATGATGCGGCCCATGTTCGCCGAGTTTCCCGAGGACCCAATCACCTGGCACCTCGATACGCAGTACATGCTCGGTGACAACGTCCTCGTTGCGCCTGTTTTCAATGACGAAGGAGATGTAGAGTTCTACGTACCAAAAGGGAAGTGGTACGGGCTACTAGATAATAAGATTCGGGAGGGCCCCGGGTATTTCAAGGAGAAACATGATTTCTTCTCGATGCCGGTGCTGCTCAGACCCGGGTCGGCGGTGTTGATGGGAAACCGGATGGATGTCGCAGAGTATGATTGGGAGGACGGCGCTAGTTTACTGGTGAACCCGCTGCCGGGGAAGACGATCAAAGTCAATATTCCGGACTGGAAGAAACAGGGAGAGATTAAGTCGACGATGGAGATGGATTGTCAGGATGGTCAGGTCAGCCTGAAAGGGGCCGAGACTGGTATTTTAATTGTGGATGTCTTGAAAAGGTCTGAGTAATGAAATTGCCTTTACCGGAAATTCTGATAGTTGATTTCTGGCGGCCGAGTGATGGGCTGTGAATATGTATCTTTTGAATCCATGTATATCAAAATTAAAGTGTTATTGCAATATTGGAACCATTTTAATCTATAACGCGTTGCAAGCTCAGGATATTAGTATATCATAAAGTATTCTAAAGATCTTATCACCTCTCGAAATCGCCTGAAAAAAACTATTCTCAGAGTATCTTTCCCGTCGTATAGATAGTCACGATAAGTGTATTTTCTGGAACGCTCTAACGCACCGAATATGTATATCCAAATCCAATATGTATATGTATCCAATAACAACAGGCATAACTTTACCGCACCATAGGTAGTCCTCTCCTACTATTTCAAACGAACATAGGCGCCCGACCGTTAGGAAAAAAAAGTCTCTGGACCCTAGCTATAGCTGTCCATTCGAAGCTCGTCCTCCTCCATTCCTAGCTCGTCCAACTATATTAGGTTCTATACTCAGCTGGTGAATATACGGTGCTCTAAGAAAGAAATCTACAGCTTAGGGAGTCTAGTTTAGAAATATCAGGGCTTACAATGTGCACGACGGACACGACGAACACAACAAGCATAAAAAGTGTTACGGACACAACAGGACATCTATCAGATATCATTTGAACAGATAGACCAGAGGAAACATGTAATATCTGGAGAGTATGATCAAGGGAGAAATGAAAGTCTTTTTGAAGGGGCCTTGGGTCATCTTGACTCGATTTTATAAAGCTTGTATCGGGACGGGCAACGACAAGAAAACCTGGGTCTTAGTCTCGTCTCATAGTACTTAGTATCGTAGAGAACGAAAATTTTAGTATGTAAGTATTACTGGCATTATATCACAGATAGGACTATGAAGATTTCATCCTGTACTCAACTGTAAATCTCCGGAGTGCATGTCCACTCCACTGATGGAACTTTAGTTAGGTATCTAGGAATAAAATTCTTTTATTACAGAGCCCGCTGTGTTCAGTCATAGAATACACAAGCAACATATCGCCTACTTAGTACTGCAGTGGGTGACAATGTGGGAATCCTTGGTACTGAACTCAATCCTCTCTTTTTTGCGGATTTTCTGGCCCAGAGCAGATTTGGGTTGTGGAGCCTTAGTTTTGGCGGATTAGTGTTGGAAGTTGTTGATGAAGATCAGTTAAGGCTGTACTCTTAGTATTCTCCCCGAGACGAGTC